TCTTTCTTTCTTTCTTTCTTTCTTTCTTTCTTTCTTTCTTTCTTTCTCTCTCTCTCTCTCTCTATCTATCTATCTATCTATCTATCTATCTATCTATCTATCTCTATCTCTATCTCTATCTCTATCTCTATCTCTATCTCTATCTATCTCTATCTCTATCTCTATCTCTATCTGTGTGTCTGTATTGTAATCAGTCCTGACATATAGTGGCACACCTAAAGTGTGAATTAGCCTGAGTCCATGCAGTGCTAGGATTATTTGTGTCACCCTTAGCTCTGTTTTTAGTCTCAATAAATCTGAGGCAGATATGTCAAGTTCTGATTCTGTGCCCCTGCTGTGAGGCTGGTCAACAGTAGTGTATTACCTCTTCTTCTTGTGCTACTGCGGTCATGGCAACCTGCTGTACCACCAGGCCTACCAAGAGCCCTGTAGGCTCCGTGTTGGTGTTCTCTTGTTGCTAAGCATCTGCAGTGTTTGCTCCAGACAGCATTAACTTTTTCTTAAAAGTCCTTTGAGTTATTCACTTCATAGAATCCAGCCCATCTTATTAATTCTCAGGTCTGCTGCTTTTTGTACTTCATATAATAAATGTCTGTGCAAAGAGATAAGAGTTTCAAGTTTTGAAAAGTTGTTTCAGCATAGAAATCCTTTCCCAAACATGCCAATTGCTCACTGTCTTTTTCTATTTCTCACATTCCCTTGCAAATTGGGTTGTTCTTGTTTTCATTTTTCACTCTCTTTGGTATAAATCAATGAAGCATGCTTTCATTTCACTAAATCTTCTTTGCTTTTTAAAACAAAAAAGTTTGGGCTTGGACTGCTGTGTAATTTAAAATGGTAGTTTCTCACTACTCATTTCATCACAGTGAACATTTTTTTTTTTACAAAGAACCCAGATAACTTCATATTCTGGAGTGTTGCTTTTTTGCTTCCTTCAGACTTGATTTGTGCCAGTATTGCTCTTAAATGTCATGCAATGTCAAGTCTTCCAACATGAATTTCCGCATGCTATTATGCTTTTTCTTCCAAGTAGCCCTTTTAATTAGAGATATCTTTTTTTTAAAAAAAGCAGCTTCTGGTTCTTAATTAGATTAATTAGCTAATGTTTACTGGAATTGCTTGGCAGTCCTAAGTCAAGTTTCTGTTCCTTGCTGGGTGAGAAGGATTGGCTTTAATTACTTGTGCAAATAATCCCTGAAGAGAAAAGAACATCCACTGATTTTGTACCACTATTATACCTATGCAGTCTCATCTCATATGAAATAGAGATTCCCTAGTGGTTTTCCAATGCTCATAAAAACTTATTTCCTAATTTTAAATAGCACAATGCCTAGATTCATGGAATCCACCATTCAAATGCTATTGTAAAATACAAATTGAAAGGTAAAATAAAATAAAATAAATTTATTCTGATGCCTCAAAGGCAATCTTGTATCTAGATGTCATTTTTTCCATCTCAGGCGTTGGTGAAGTCACAGTTTCAACCATCTTCAGGGGTCTTCAAACTTGACAGCTTTGAGACTTGTGGACTTCAACTCCCAGAATTCCACATCCAGTCATGTTAGCTCAGGAATTCTGGGAGTTGAAGTCCACAAATCTTAAACTTGCCAAGTTTGAAGACCCTTGTGTTAGGTAAATCAGGAACTTATATGAAGCAATGCCTGCACTATATGATTCTGCAAATAAGGATCAGTATTTTAATGACTTGAGTCTTATGAAATAATCAAGTAGTATTACAACTCTTTTCACAACCGGTATCTAAAAACCATATTCTTCTTTGTTACTGATTTTGCTAGATAAGCTATTTTACTATTGACCTGACATTTCATTTATTATGGACGTTCTAGTTGCTTCTTTGCTCTGCTGGAAGTCCATGTACGGGCAATCCTTGACTTACAACAATTTGTTTAGCGACCATTCAAAGTTACAATGAGTCTGAAAAAAGTGACCTATGACTATTTTTCAGTTATGCCCAGCGTAGCATCCCCATGGTTACATGGTTTACATTCGGGTGCTTGACAACTGACTCGCATTTATGACGGTTGCCGTGTCCCAGAGTCACGTGATCCCCTTTTGTGACCTTCTGACCTGCAAAGTCAATGGGGAAGCCAGATTCACTTAACAATCGTGTTACTAATTCAACAATTGCAGTGAGTCACTTAACAAATATGGGAAGAAAAGCCATAAAATGGGGCAAAACTCACTTAACAACATACATTTTGGACTCAGTTGTGGTGGTATGCTGAGGATTATCTGTATTGATTTACAGCTAAAATCAGAGGTGGTATTCAGCAGGTTCTGACCAATTTTGGAGAGCCAGTAGCGGAAATTTTGAGTAGTTCGGAGAACCAGCAAGTACCACCTCTGACTGGCCCCACTCCCCATCTATTCTCTGCCTCCCGAGTCCCAACTGATCGACTGAGTCTTCTTTTGTTGCCCTGCACAGGATAACGGAGCTGGAAAGCAGGTTAGTTGGGTGGGGAGGGAATGGGATTTTGCAGTAACCTTCCCCTGCCGCACCCACCAAGCCACGCCCACCAAGCCATGCCATGCCCAACAAGCCACACCCACAGAACCGGTAGTAAAAAAAATTGAATCTCACCACTGGCTAAAATATTTTTTTTATAATTACATAAGGCAGTTTTGTAATATATTTGGCATATATTATGTGAAACACTCAGTCTTTGTATTATGAAGAGTTCTGAGTGTACTAAATTACGGGTTAGAGTTACACAGTTTTGAAGGGTTGGAAGTACAATGTTTCATATTTAGTGCCTGTTGTAACTTTTTTGAAGTCTTTTGTTTTTGCTTTCAATTTCAGATCAAAATAGAAAATTATGATAGCTACCGGGGGAGTCATAACAGGACTGGCTGCCTTAAAAAGGCAAGATTCTGCCAGGTCCCAACACCATCTGAATCGCACAACATCACCAGCTCCTGAGCAACAGAAGCCAGCCAAGCGTCGGCCAAGGACAGATGTGGTTGTAGTCCGAGGCAAAATCCGGCTATATTCCCCATCCGGATTCTTCCTTGTCTTGGGAGTGCTGATTTCTTTCCTGGGAATTGCTATGGCTATTCTTGGTTACTGGCCCCCAAAAGACTCATTCCTAGAGCCCGAAGACAGCTTGTCACTAAACGAGACTCAGTTAATGGGAAAAGGAGACAGATTCATTATGCGCTTCCTTGAGCAGCATTTACATTCCGATAAAATGAAAATGCTGGGGCCTTTCACTATGGGAATTGGAATATTTATTTTTATTTGTGCAAATGCCATGCTCCATGAAAACCGGGACAAGGAGACAAAAATCATACACATGAGGGACATCTATTCCACTGTAATTGACATCCATGCTCTGAGAATCACTGAGCAAAGGCAGCTGCATGGAGCCTACACCGGCTTAGCAGGAGAGAATGAAGTCAAGCATGGTGGAAGCTCTTGTGCATCACGGCTGGCTGCAAATACAATTGCTCCTTTCTCGGGCTTTGCAAGCAATTTCCACATGGTTAGCAATGATGAAGAGGATGAATTTGCTGGAAATGAGACCAAGAAATCAATCCCAAATCTTATGTCACCTTTGCTGATGGAACACACTGCTTCAGTCTTTGGCCTTTACCCTCACTCTGGGAAAGGCAGGGATGAAAGAAGCAGCGGCTCTCTGAAGTGCGAAACGAAATCAATTGTGTCATCCTCCATTAATGCTTTCACATTACCTGTAATCAAACTGAATAACTGTGTGATTGATGAGCCAAGTATTGACAACATCACTGAGGATTCATCAAGGAGTACAGACAGACCTAAAAATTTGTCCATGGATTCTTTAGCTCTCCCATTAATGAATACCAGCGATAGCTACAGATCTGCCAATGCTTTGTTACCACGCAACAATTTATTTGGAGACTCTTCCTTCAGTCAGTTCAAATCTTCAATGACTCTCGGAGCCAGCACCGGACAGCTCTTATCACCTGGTGCAGCCAGAAAACAGTTTGGGTCCAACACCTCTTTGCATTTCTTGTCTGCACATTCAAAGTCCCTAGACTTGGATAGGGGTCCTTCTACTCTCACTGTCCAAGTGGAACAAAGAAAACATCCAAGTTGGCCACGACTGGACCGGAGTAACAGCAAAGGTTATATGAAACTAGAAAACAAGGAAGACCCTATGGACAGACTTCTCGTACCACCAACTACAGCGAAGGACTTCAGTAATAAAGAAAAACTGTTGATGATTTCCAGATCTCACAATAATTTGAGTTTTGAGCATGATGAATTTTTGAGTAACAATTTAAAGCGTGGAACTTCAGAAACAAGATTTTGATGGTCAGATGATGACGGTTAATATATTTGACAGTATTTATTTTATAAAATAAACATTTTAAACCTTCCCTTTCATTCCTTTTCAGTGCAACCTTGTTTTTATTGAATATTTCTTTCCGATTAAAATTGACTTGTGTTTGCAAATACCTATGTTTCTCAGAAAATAAGACCAAGTCTTATTTTTTTCAGACTTGAAAATAAGCACTTGGGCTTATTTTCGAGGTGGTCTTACTTTTTTTAAGGTGCAGCAGGCCATACTCAGTGAGCTGGATGCACTGTGAATGCACTGTCGCCTCAATTCCAAACCTTTTTGGAGGCTTTTTGGTGAATGGAAGAGGGGAATTTTGCTACCTGTCATTCTTCCTTCAGTCTGTGCTGAGCTTGAGGAATGGATGACAGGCAGCACAATCTGCCTCCCCATTTTCCTCCCATTCACCAAAAAGCCTCCTGCGAGCCTCCCCAAAAGAGGGAAAAAGCAAAGCAGCTGGCTGCGGATCTGCCAGCTTCGGGGAAGTGGCTCAACAAGAAGCGCTGCACCCAGAAAGTGAAGGGCAAAAGCTATATTTGTGCTGCCCCAAGGGGCCAGCAGGCTGCAGCTGCAGCCGGACAGTTGCCCCCCTGCACCCATGCCACCACTCCTGCTGGCCACGCCCATCCCCCCCCCGGCCTTTTTTTTTGGGGGGTGTGAAATATTAGGCCCACTCCCTGAAAATTAGGGTTGGGCTTATTATTGGGGTGGGTCATGTTTTCGGAGAAACACGGTACTACTTTTTTTCATCACTGCAATGCCAAACCTTTAATGTTAAGTTGCTTGTTCATGAAAACATGGCCCTGACATAATATTATTTGGTTAGTGATTGCATTAGGTGGTAATTGTGTGGTAGATTAAGAAATGATAATGTCTTAATTTACAGCTACTGTGCCACTTATCATTGTTCAGCATACCTGAGTGATCGAAATCTAGATTGCTTTTTAGTCATTTCTTTGTTCCTACATAAGGATGTTTCGTTTTGCTTTGTTTTTCATAATTAAAGGTACAGTTGTAGCTGAATAAATACGTTTCAGTGTTCAGAACCATCAGCGACTGCAAGTTTAAGAATGATGTTTTTGGCTCATGATGAAAATGGATATAAAGTCTGTAGTACCAAGGTCATATTTGGTATCATTTATAGAATCAACAAAGGTACTTAAGGTGAAGTCAGAACAAATTTCTGGATGTTTTTTGTTTTGCCCCCTCTTCTATATATAAAAGCTTTCATCTGCTACCAGAGAGAATTGTGATTTGCCTCAGTTGCTGCTATTCAAAAAACAAAAGTATACATCTAGTCTGAGCATGGAGAATTGCATAGCAGATTGGATTTAAGCCAAATAGGTTACAAGCAAAGGACCCAAAATTATTGTCCTGCGAAACTCACTTGAAATAATAGCATTTCTCAATTAGATACATTGGAATGTGAAACCAACATTGAAAGTAGCTGTTCTAACACATCTGGAAGGCATATGAGTGGAGAATGTTAAAATATCACCTACTCAGTTACTTTCCATTTATTTTGGTAGGTTGCACCCATTTTTCTTTTATATATATAGGAAAAATGTTGATACGAATGAAATAACATTAGATATTTGTGATTTTCTGGAAAATATGAGGGGAAATATGAAAATTAAAAAATAATAGTATGTACATTTTCTGAAAATACCGTATTCTTATTTTGTGAATGAAGAAGATCCATTATTCTGGATCTATTATATCGAATGACATAAAACTAGAACTTCTGTTATTCATCACCCAGGGTTGGATGGAAGGAGATTGGAACAATTTTATTCCCAAAATTATTTCTGATGCAGTTTAACACAAAGGTATTCTTTATTTGGCAGTTTATCAAGAAGCATTATCTGTTCTGGTAAAAATAACCAAAAGTGAGGTGTTTATTACTTCCTGCTTTATCACTACTTCTTGCTGCTTCCTCTCTTTCCATCCCATCCCACCTATCCACCATATTAGTCTGTTTACTGAAGACATGGAGCTCTAACTCAGATCAGCAAGTTGGTTGGATATTATAGGAGTTTATTATCATGAGGGCCATATATTGCTTAAACTCCAGAGAAGGGAATTTTACATTTTAAAAGTGTTTACATAGCTTCTCCTTTTGGAATACAGAAACAATGTTTAAAGTAATATAGGACTCACTCATACCCACATATATATCTTTACACTTATTTTGTGCTCTCTGAGTTTGGTTGCACTGATGATGTTACCTAATTTGGCTAATGAAACGTCTGCAAGAAATCAACCAAGCTCAAGAGCCCTCATTTCAACCCTGAGCTACAGATATTCTCCTTTATTGTTACAATTTTTGTAGGCTTCATGTGTTGAGAATTGTATACTCTGACTTTTCATGATTTCCAATGGAAAACTATGGATGTCATTGCCGTTCAGATTTTTTTAAAAAAATGCTTTCAATTTTTCCAAGTTGAATACAGTTGCCTCACTCCAAAATTAAGTTTGTTATTGTAATTTCAAAATAGCTAAATAAGAACCTCAACTGATTTGTGTGACTGGTTCTACCTACGTATTATTTCTATAATGCAGACACCCTACACAAGTGTTCCTAGAAACAACATAAAGACAGTCAATCCAGATGAAATTTTTAAATAACAGAATTGGTGTCCTGCTGCCCGGTGTAATTTTTCTGAATATGAAAAATAAACCCATCATGCCTACCTACCACCATTCATTATGAAGCTCCTGTAAACCATGTTTCTTTCCTGTAACACAACTAATTGCAGTGATAAATCAGATTGTGAAATGCCAGAAAGAGCAATACTGAGTGACACTGAAAATTATTGTTAAATTAGTAAGGTGAATGTTCATTAGAAATAAATGTATATGCCTCTCTGAGAAGCCTTTCACAATTTGGTGTTCTGCTTTTTTTTTTTTTCCAGCCAGCCAATTAAAGTGCGTGCTGTCTGAGATTAGAAACCCAAGATTATATAGCATCAAGTTAAGGCTACCCTGAAGCCTATTCTTGCTTAATAGGCAGTAGTCCATCCTTGTTTGTGATTTTGCCTACAAGATCACAGTATTAATTGGTTAAACGATGTCGGACGTAATATAAATAACTCAGGAACTGATTTACTAGCTTCTCCCAAAATAGTTATAATGTCAAAATGTACTTTAATTGACTATGAAAGATATTTTTTCTATGATTGTCCAGCTCTGTATTCTAATAATAAACTCTTTTTGTGACTAAAGCATTATTTGCTTTTGAATTGAGGCATAGTGTTAACTTATTAGAATTTCAAGCCTAAATATTGTAACAGAATTGACTCCATATTTTGCTATGAAGCTTTTAATAACTTTCTGGTCAGTGTTCTTATTACATTTACTATTTTTTTAAATAAAAGCAAAACATATAACACTGCATGAATGATAAATGTGTGTTTCCTTAGTATTCAGTAGTTCTACTGTTATATTAATAGAGGGAAAAGACTGACACATTTTTCCCTCTTAGATATATGCTGCTGTTGCTTATTCTTTCCCTATGTAGTTTGTAGTAATAATGCAAAATTTATTCCTAAAAATAATTCTATCAAGGCAGGGTATCCTGTTTCCTTATAGCATATTCTTCAGCTTGACCCATTCTTTTGATGTGCTCATTTCTAATTCAAGGAACTAGACGTTCTTTTCCAGTCTGATACTCTTTGACTATGTTGGATTATATCTCTGAGAATTCCCAAGAAGAAAAACATGTGGATCAGAAGGAGATGCTCTTTATAATGTATATTTCAATCCTTTATTTTAGTACTCTTGTAATCCCTTTTTTATTGGGGTGGAGTCAGGGCGACTGAATGGAGCAGTTTATCAGCAGGATGCCTTTTGTGACTCCCACATAGAGTTCACGGCAGATATTTTCTCTTTGTGCCCTGATAGAGAAACATCTGTTACTGCCCAGGATTGAACTCTCAACCTTCTGAGTAGGAGGTGAGCATCTTCACCTCTAGGTCACCATACAACTCAGATGCATATTTCTATCCTAAGGTACCTTAAAAGGTAGGAACAGTTAAAACTGGTTTGAATGGAATTGAATTTGAATGGAAAACCAAAGCCAGGACTATAGGCTAGTCTCAGAAGTTGATAAATCTGCTGAAAGTATATTCCAAGTGTAAAATTATACATCCAACAAAGTAAAGCCCAATAAGTAGTTCATAAAAAGTTCAGAGAAGAGCAACTAAGATGATCAAAGGCCTGGAAACTAAAACATGAAGAACGGCTGCAGGATTTGGCTAGTCTTAAAGAAAAAAAGAGAATTAGGGGTGACATGATAGCAGTATTCCAGTATTTGATGGGCTGCCATGAAGAAGACGGGGGTCAAGTTATTCTACAATGCACCAGTGGGCAGGACAAGGAACAATGGTTGGAAACTAATCAAGAGAGAAGCAACCTGGAACTGAGAAACTTCCTAACAATGAGGACAATTAACCAGTGGAACGACTTGACTCCAGAAATTGTGGCTGTGCCATCACTGGAGATTTTAAAGAAGAAACTACACAGCTACTTATCTGAAATAGTATAGGTTCTCCTGCTTGAGCAAGGGGCTGGAGTAGAAGACCTCCAAGGTCCCTTCCAGTTCTGTTCTGTTCTATTCCCATTCCATTCCAAGTATATTGTATTTTTATTGAATTGTCCCGGCACCAGTTTTTATTTTTGAATAGAATAGAATAGAATAGAATAGAATAGAATAGAATAGAATAGAATAGAATAGAATAGAATAGAATAGAATAGAATAGAATAGAATAGAATAGAATAGAATAGAATAGAATAGAATAGAATAGAATAGAATAGAACAGAACAGAACAGAACAGAATAGAATTCTTTATTGGCCAAGTGTGATTGAACACACAAGGAATTTGTCTTGGTGTAAATACTCTCAGTATACATAAAGAAAAGATACATTATGCAGTATACAGGTCCTCAGTGGAAGGCAGGTGGGTAGTAACTGCTTTTTCTGCAGTCCTAATTACACTCTGAAGTCTATGTCTGTCCTGTTGGGTTGAAGAACCCAACTAGACAGTTATAGAGGTGCAGATGATAGACTCAATAATTCCTCTGTGGAACTGTATCAGCAGCTCCTTGGGCAGTTTGAGCTTTCTGAGTTGGCGCA